GATGAACATGAATTAGATATTTGTGTTTTTAGAGGATGTTAAGACAACACCATAGAAGACGAAGGAACAGTTGAAGAAAGAACGAGAAGATTAGTTAGTTATGGGTGTGGGTGTGAGTGTGGCTGGTGTGGGTGTGGGCGCGGGTGTGGATGTGTGTGGTATATGTTCTACATTTCCACTCGGGTGTGGATGTGGGTGGGATGTGGGTGCGGGTGGTGTGGGTGTGGGTGTGGGTCTCGGTGGGGTGTGGATGTGGGTGTGGGTGTGAATGGGTTAGGGTGTGGGTGTGGGTGGTGCGAGTATGGGTGTCGGTGGGGTGTGGATGTGGGTGCACGTGTGCATGTGGGTGTGGGTGTCGATGGGGTGTGGGTGTCGATGGGGTGTGGGTATTATATTCATGCGACCCTGAGGTGTACACGGACACGGGCACCCGTACCCACTGGCACCCACACACGCACATCCACACCGACCCACACCCATGCGCCCATACCCACATCCACACCCACGCACTCCCCTCAGCCAACACTCACTCCCACACCCACACCCCACACCAAGGCACACTCACACCCAAACCACAACCACATCCAAATCACACCCACACCCTTTTTAATTAATAGATAACAAAGGGCAATTGTTTGTATCTATTCTAGTCTAACACCAAGATTTTTATTTTTATATAATTAAAAAAATGAATAAAAAAAATTGAGATAAATGAACTGCCATGTGATTGAGGAAATACTTGATGCCATACTACGGACCAACTTTCTCAATTTCAAGACTCATTTATGTTCTGTCAAAATTTGAAATATATATTTTGTTTAATTTATTTTGAACAGATTTAATTTATTTATTATTTTTAAGAACGCTTCAAGTTCTTGCCTATTCTTGTCATTCGTGTGGACATTTTTTCTTTTCGTTCTGTTATACGTGAACATATATGTATATCATCGCAGCTGCAAAATGAAAGAAAAAAATAACGAAAGAAACAAAAACATGTTCTTGCAGGGAACAGTATTTAAGAAAAATCGCTTGGGACTATACCATTCCCCGCGCTCATATTTTAGGGTAATGATCAGTTTTTTGCGCTCTTTCCAACGATACCACTCTCACAAATTAGAATTTTAGTTAATTTTTTTCGACCGTTTGATATGGGAAAATAAAATGCAAGCAAAATTCTCGTGTACGATCCATCCGTGCTGCGCTAGCGTTCTTTCTTGCTAAAATGAAACTAAAAGTTAGCAGTAGAATGCTTGCTTCAAATTTTTATTTGAATAACAAACGCGAAGTATCATGAATCATTCACGACGTTCCTAAAGCGTTTTTAAGGGACATCGTTCCTTAATACTTTGGCTTCCAACATCTCGATAGATAGACTGTACTTCGTCATCATCAAACTTGAACTGTTTCACAGCGGATGGATAATGAAGATGATCAGGTGATAGTTGAGATGGATGATACTTGTACATACAGAAGTCAAGTAACATCGAATGCCAACGTCGATCCGTTAATATGCACAAATTGGATACAAGATGACAATATTATTGTGGTTGAATGGAGCTTCAAAGATGTTGTAGACAACATGAACAGCTCCGCTCTGAATATTCAAACAGCTGATGGTCTCGAGAGGAAGAAATAATTACTTTACAAGGAAACAAATCATTGTCGTTGCATCACAAAAGTGAGAGCGATTATCAAGGATAGTAGTTATGTGCAATAAAACAATTTTATTATAATACGAAAATGCAAAGTCTTTGACATCTCTCTTGACTCACACGACGCACAATATTATGAAAAGAAAAAAAAATTGTCATTACCACCATCTAAACGAATATACATTCACCCTATCCTAAATCACCATCTCAAACAACCAAACTGAGGTATACTCACAATTACTAAAACGTTACCATAGTTGCAGAGCATTACAGAACTACTGTTGCAGCCAGATTATTTACACATGCGGCATAGACTCGCTATAGATATCGATGCGTACAAAAAACCGCTACCATACGGTACTGCTTTCTAAGTTCGGAAACAAAAACATGACCTTCGAAATAACATCATCGTACAGAACTCAAAAAATTACTTTGGTCCAACTATAGCCGAGTTCATCGTAATGATGTCTTGTGCACAAGATTTTTCACATACAAGATTAAACATTCCAAAATTTCGGTATTTCGGACAGTTGGGTGTGGGTGTAGGTGTGGGTGTAGGTGTGGGTGTGGGTGTGGGTGTGTGGGTGTGGGTGTGTGGGTGTGTGGGTGTGGGTGTGGGTGCGGGTATGGGTGTGGGTGGGGTCGTGGGTGTGAGTGGGGTGTATGTGTGTTTAAAGAAGAGTGAGACATATACCCACACCCACACCCATACTCGCACCCACACCCACACCCGCACTCACACCCACACCCGCACCCGCACCCACACCCACACCCACCCACACCCTTAGTGCTCTGGATCAATAAGAAAAAGATGAATGGAAAATGAGTGTTGATCTCTATCGTGGTCAGCGAATGTCGCTTAATGAAATTGAAGATATGAAAGCAAGTTATCCAAACTGATTTTTCTATAGTTTTCTGTCAACAACAAAAAATATTGAAGTTGCTCGAGCATTTTCAGGAGCAGGACAAATTACGAAAGATGTATCGATTCAACTTGTTATTTTTCATTTTGCTTGTTCTATGATGAAATTTAGTAGAGATGTTGCGAATATTCAAAATCAAAGTAATAATGGAGAGGAAAAAGAAATTCTTTTTTCTCCTCTCCATTGTTTCGCTGTCAGAGATGTTAATTATGATGAAAACGAAAAAGTTTGGTTTGTCAAATATGACATGTGTGGTGATGAGACTGATTTACTATTATTATTACATCAACGCTTAATTAAACTTGATATTACTGTTCGTGTACTAATGAATAGTGTTTCTACTGACAAAGATTCTGTGGAAACAGTGAATAAAACATTTTCTAATGATATGTCTGTTCTATTCAATGAACTTTTTATTCCAGATGGCAATATTGTGACATTGGATGAAAACGCCCAAATACCAAAGAATATGAAACATGCGGTTACTGCACTTTTTCTTCTCAAAGGATTACAATATTTCAATGTTGATTCATTTAGTCATAAGCCAGACATTCCAACAGATGCACTGGTTACACTCTGGGATGGTTTGTCAACAATGTACAAGAAAAAAGGTGAATTTCAACGGGTTTAGACTACTTCGAGAGAGCAGATTCTTGTGCTCAAAATATTTTACCGACGATTCTTGCTCGTAAGGTAAACGAAAGAGTTATTATTTTTAACAGTTTCAACTGAAAGTTTTTCATGAAAAAAAACCAAAGGTGATTAAAGACTTTAATAGAAATAATGCGATATTATTGTTTTCACCTCCCCATGGAATGTCTTTTTGTTTTCTTTTCAATGATGAAATTCGATTCATCACAATCATATATATAGAGAGAGCGAGAGAAAGAGATAGATAGAAACAAAGGACTAAGATACATGAGATATCTAAATAGATATACTCATATGTTCATTAAGAGAGCGTTTCAACTCGTCACGTGACGAGTTGAACAAATTGCAAAAATCACACCTTTCGTAACACCAAAAACAGGCATATTCAAAAATGCAGAGATGTCGTAACGAAATTTACAGGGCGATCGTAACGATTAATACAGGCAGTTCGTAACGGTTGCAGAGCTTTCACAACGAAGCAACAGGGTTTTCGTAATGAAATATATGTTAGTCGTACGTCATTTACGAATAGAAATTACATGGGTTTCGTAACGAATTGTACAGGGCTTTCGTAACGGCTAAAATAGACTTTCTCATGTTATATTTCAAAGGAGATGTAGGCTGTCAAATCAGGGCTGTCGTAACGAATTTTACAGGGAAGACGTAACTGTTCATACAGGGTTGTCGTACCGGAAAAGCAGAGTGTATGTGAGTTAGATGTACAAGGGTATCATATTGAAATATCAGGGCTGTCGTAACCAATCGTCTGATCTCGAAATAAGAAGAAAAGATTTGTTGAAGATTAACATTTTCAACTTATTTTGCTTACTTTACTTAATCAAGCAAGGGTGTGGGTGGGTGTGGGTGTGGGTGTAGGTGCGTGGGGTGTGGGTGTAGGTGCGTGGAGTGGGGTGTGGCGATGGGCGTTGGGGTGTGGGTGTGGATGTCTACAAAAAGAAAATGACACCAACAATCACACCCACACCCACACCTTAACGGTTACGATAGCCCTGTACTTTTCGTTACGACAGCCCTGTATTGTCACTCGTACTTTTAAGCTAAGTGCATTACGAAAGCCCTGAATGAGAAGTTACGATAACCCTGAAAAATTCTTTACGGAAGGTCTGTAATTGATGGCATTATTTTCTAAAATAGCACATATCAAACCACTAGTTACGAGCACCCTGTAAAATTCGTTACGAAACCCATGAAATTTTGTTACGAAAGGTCTGATTCTGCCGTTACGAAAGCTCTGTTACGGGCTTTCGTACTGTCAATTAGTTACGAAAGCCAGAAAACAAAAATCGTGACGAGTTGAAATGCTCCTTTCATTAATATATTCTTAAATCTGTTGAGAACGAGTAAATCTAAAGGATAATTGATCTTGTGTGAAAATATAAACTGAGACCTTCATGATTGATAACTATGTTCTAAATAAGTTTTGCAGGTGACGAATCAAATGTTTTGAAGATTTTCAAAAGTCTAACAAAATTTCATATTGATAAGAGAAAGAAATTCAAAAATAACAACGAGTCAACTATGGAGAACTTCTGAGTTTTCAACTATCGTTGTTTTTATTCTTATTGAAGAAAGAGTGAGAAAATCTTTACAAATATTTGCTTAAACTTCATTTGATCAAAGGGAAATATGCCAGAAGTTCACAGAATGATGGGTAATTATAGTCGAGCATGGTCTATTTATTTATCGACAATTATCAGATGAATACTTTGATATTCCAGATAATGATAGTTATCAAGTGTTTGAGAATATTGCAACTGATATTCCATATGTAGAATCGCAGAAGAAATCGAATTATGGTATCCAAATATTTTTGATTATCTCGAATATATTCGTGTTCGTTGTCAAGAAACATCAATCAACAAATCGGATTTCAAGAATGTTCTTACATAAATATATTGTTCTCTGGGACATGCTTATTGGTATGTTGTTCATAATAAACAAAGTGCTGTTCTTTGCTATAATCGATGAAAAGAACTTTTCAAAGAAAATGACGAGTCCTTAGGTGAAGTCTTTCTCTATTTGGCTCACACATGTTTTAAAGATGATTCAATACAAGCAAAAAATCTTTATGAACAAGCAATTGTCGAGTTATCTATTTTAGAAGAAAAGTGGAGTTTGAAGCTAGCTATATGTTATAGTCGTCTTGGTTGTTTACAAAAGAAAAAACGCTGTTTTAATTCGATCCTTCTATCTACTTAATTATGTTGAAGATCTTACGATTTTGTTAAATAATCATTTAGAATAAGTTGCTGAATGCTATTTATATTTAGCAAAATGTTATGATCAAGCTGATTTTATGACCGTGAAAACAATTGCTCGGCAATTTTGTGAACAAGTTCTACGTCTTTTTTTAAATGTCAAACTACCAACTTCGAACTTTCGAGAAATGCACGAATGCATTGAATTACTTCTGACTCTTCAAGAGAATAATGGTAAAGTAGGGTGGGTGATGGTATGGGTGTGGATGCGATTGAACGGAATAGCTATGTCCACATCCCACCCTAGTGCTCGCTTTGCGATTCTATATTAACATGGGTGTATATGAATGTAACAGAAATTGATTTTATTAAACAATCAAAGAAAATCGAAAATATGCTATAGATGATACCCAATGTTTAGCTTAAGTATCTACAGAAATAATAGAACAATTCAATATTTAATGAAAGGAATCACATATCTATATGAATATAATAGAAAATTTTTTGACAATTAAATGTAATAAACAAGGAAAAATATGACAGAAGCATTAGACAATATATTCAATTTGAAGATCTACATTATATTCAGTTTATTTCTACTTTTCTATATATAAAATCAGATTATCTATTTTCACACAGAAAACAAAGAAATCTCAAATCTAAAAATATTAACACTATTAAATCTATTATAAACATGTTTAAATCTTCTTTTCGCAGTGTCTAATGCAGATTTCAGGAACTTGGAAACAAGACATTTATTGAAAAAAAAATTTATTTATTTTATCAAATTGTTGTCTTTTTAAAATTTTTATTTTCGTATAAAATTCTGTATACAACAGAATTTATTCCTAGTTGACTCATTCTATTGACACAACTTCCATCGATAATAATGACGAAAAAACCAACATGGATATTAATCACAGTAATTACAATAAAAATGTGACTGATTTTTTCTTTTCTTTTTTCGGATGCAACTCACTTTGCTGATCGTAAGATTACAACAAATCATTTTATGAAATCTATGTTATTAACAATGAGAAAAATATTGAAAACAAATGATTCAAATAAAAAGGTAACATATGGATTTCGCTTTAGTATTTCTAATAAATGTGTTAATCTCAATCAAAAACAACTTGATCGTATTTCTTACTTATGTACAATTGTAGCACATAAAGATGCTTTTATATTTACTCAAAATAATAATGATGAATATATATATTGCATTATTCAATTCATTATAACTGATTTATGATAATTCTTCATAGAACTATTTCAAAACAACTGTATATCTTATTTACTGAACTATATACCAGAACACGATAATATACGAGATATACTTCGATTGTTTGATTATTTTGATGTTAATTCGTTTTGTTTTTCTCTTTTAAGAGGAGAATATTTTGTTTTACCAAATCTGACTCTTAATGATAACAAAAAAAGATGAGTTAAATATCATTGTTCAACTCTATCTGAAGCAAGAAATAAAGCTGTAGAATTCATCATTGCTCTCAGTCAAAATAAATATGATTTATCTTATTATAATTTAGTGAAAAATATCTTTTCTTTGATCATGGTCATTCTCTTCAAAGCTGATGGTTTAGTTCATGATTTCGTCACTACACAATAACAATAGTGAAAGAATGTTGTTTTACATTTTTGTCTAAAAAACAACGAAGTTTACTGCTTATTACTGATCATAGCATAGAAAAAACACATAAAGTTGAATGCTTTAATGTATGTATATACGAGGATAGTTATTCTTTTCTCGAAAATTTTCATAACACATTTTCTTGAAGAGAAATTTTACATGGCGAAAATAGAGAATGATATCAACTGTTTATCTGCATTCTCTACAACAATGATCGATGATTGGAAATCTTATGGGTTTTTTTATTCAGTAGAATTTCTTCGAATGTGTGTCGATCTTTTAAATAGATTGCTTCACTACATCAAGAAAATTGAACTGGATCAAAGAAAAAAAGAAGTTCAATCAAAATGTTTTAATAGATTTCCAAAACGATCAAACATCAATTTGAGCCAAAAGCTCAAAAATACCGATAAAAATTTTTGATATAAATGTATTCTTTTAAATTTTTTCCTGTAGTTATAATAAATAAGTTTGGCTTATTTAAATCTTTATTTTCATCTTCTGACACGATTTTTTTCTGAAAATGAATTCACTGATATATGTTAGGAAATCAGTAGATTATTCAAGATCTACTCTTATCACTCTGTAGATTTGGTGAATTACAATGACCTTCCTTAACCGATTTCAATTTCAATCTAAGAAACTCGTACACAGATATTGATTTATCTCAACGATAGAACATGACTAGATTGGATTAAGAAGTTTTAAAGATACAAGAACGACATATTTTTTCACCTACCAAAAAATATTAAAAAATAAAAAGAGGCGTATTTTTTCGACATAAGCTTGATTATATATTGGGAAAGGAGAGACATGAACATGAGCGCTTCTAGGATTTTCTTACTCTGACTGAGACCTACGTATATCCAAAATATGTAGTAAAAAACTTTTAAATAGTTGAGGTATCTTTCTTATTAGTAAGAACAAATACAATTTAGATGATTATAAAACAGTTGATAACATCTTCTCTTCAGTCAAAAACATTACTTCTGTTCCTGCTATTTTTCATTGAAGATTTTGTTAGCAGATACTAATCATAGTGAAACAATATTGTTTGTCATTATTTTCTCTCAAATAATAACAGTTACTACCTACTAGATAACAGATCATGCA